TCTCTCTTCCTGACATTGGCAACCTAATATTCCCTCTGTTCTGCATTAATTCATCCCTCCATGTGATGTTTCACAATCATTCAACAATACGTATTTTGTGATTCTTTCATTCTTATGCATTAATTTTGAGTGTAATTTTTACATTCTGCGTAGGTATGGGATCTTCTAGGCATAGTATAGGTTATTGGTTCCTTTCTAGCTCTGTTCTGCTCTGAACAAAAGTAGTGTTTTAAGAATTTTGAATTGTTTGAAATTTGTTTTCTTCTGTAACCCAAATATGGTGGACTGGAATTTTTGTATGACCTTGAAAAAGTTAAATTCTGCTATTGTTGTATAGAACATTCTGTATCAAAGTTGGTTAGTAGTGTTATTAAGTTATCAGTTATAACCTGTGTCTATCTTTCCGTTCAGTTTTTGCTTTGTGTATTTTAAATCTTAATAATGTGTGTGTGTGTGGGGGGGTGTATGTCTGCATGTATGTCTGTGCAGCATGTTCAGGCATGGTGCCAGAGGAGGCCAGAGGAGTGCATCAGATCCCCTGGGACTGAAGTTACTGGTTGGGAGCCACTATTAAGAGCAGCTGCTCTTCATGACTGAGCCATCTCTCCAGCTGTCTCCTATTTCTACATGTTATGTGTTTGTATGAATGTTTGCATGTGTGTGTAGGTGCAGGGCATGTGGGTGAGTGCCTATGGAAGCTAGAACTGATAGTAGGTTTCTCCCTGGATTCATCACCTTCCATTCAGAGTCTCTTGATGAACCTGGAGTTTGCTAATTGAGCTACTCTAATTGGTCAGCTTACACTGGTCATTCCCCTGTCTCCACCTCCTGACCACTGGGATTGATGGACAGGTGCCATGCCTTCCAGGGTTTTAGATAGGTTCTGAGGATCTGAACTCAGGTCCTCAGCATGTAACAAGGACTTCATCCATTGAGCCATCTAGCACCATGCTTCATGTATTTAATCTCTCTTATAAGACTATACAATCCTAATAATGTCTGTTAATTAATTGCACTGTTTGTCCTTGTATCTTTTTATGCATACCAATACTCAATAATTCCACAGAAATCTGTCTTGCTATCTAGTGTTGTAGGCAGTCAAGTTTTATTTTATGTCAGTTTTCAAGCACACATATTATTTGTAAGCATATGAGAATATGCCAATATACAGAAATATATATGCATTGATACATAGCATATGTGGATACACACATTTGCACATATATGCATGTATATAAAACACATGATTTTGAATATATGGGTATAATCCTGTATTTACAGAACTCCTCTCCATATTTCCAAGGGTGGTTGTATTTGTAAATGCTATACAAATGAAAGCTTATAAACACTAAGTTATAGAAGATATGAAATTCTACACTGAACTCTCCCAAAACATTGCACCTATTTTCAAAAGAAACAAAATTAGAACTAGTCCATGACCCTAGGATGCTCACTCAAATGTCTGGAACAGAAATGCTTAGAGTGATGAGAATTTACTCAGTGGGTTCATTACAAAGCCGGTTATGTTGCTGTTTCCCAGGTGGGAAAACTATGGACTCCTCTTTTTCTGGTTCAGAACTTTGACTTTATTGCTGAAAAGGGTTGTTATTGAAGTCATAGAAGGCCTCTAAATCTGCCTATCACCAAAGCAGTTGCTGTCACTCCAAAGGAAAGGCACTGAAGAATAAAGAAAAAAATGCACGTCTTATATAGGTAAATAAGGACAGGACCAACTCCTGAATTAAACCAGAATACAAACAGGTTCCCTTATGTGACTCTTGAGTCATGTGTCTGATATTGTTCTGGATGTTCAGGATATATGTATAAAGATAAAACAGAGGTAAGTCTCTGGACTCTTGAGGTTTCCATTCCAGGAAGAAAAGCTAAGACTAAAAACTGAGTTAAAAATAATAAGCCATATATCATTTCACTGTGCAGTAAGTTCTGTTTAGAAAAAGAATGGAAAAAGTTGGTCACTAACAAGGTAATGCACCAAGGGCTACATTCTGGCACAAGTGTGTCAAGGTGTTAAGCAAAGATTACCATATATAAAGGACAGGATGCCAGTTATATCTGGAGAGAGACTGTAGTGAAACATTACTTCAGACATAATGATATTGCTGATGTAAGGTCTCTGGTTAGCTCTCCAGGGGAAATGGAAAGATGGAAAATAATTCTGAGTTGTGTGACCCAATATGCACATGAGCGGTCCACGCTGGGTACCATCACTGGAGTAGGTTGGGAGTGGATGAAAACCACCCACCTATTGTGAAGAAAGGCATGATCATCACCATGAGGTTCACCCTTACGCCTTTCTTTGCCATCTTCTCCTTCAAAGTCCCATTCACCAAAGAGAAGTCTGGCTATATATATTTTCTGTCTCAGTACAGTTTGGTGGCAGATTTATCACACACAGATATAAGACTTTGTTCTTCATTGAGTTCTGGAGAGCTCTGGTGTACAAGAAAGCTGAGCATGTATGAGCCCCACTCAGACTATGTGTGACTCTCGTACAGTATGTGAGTTCTATTTAAAAACAAAACCATATTTTCCCGTTATCCCATTTTAAGCATTATTAAAGACCACTCCACACAGTGAATGAGAAATGTTGATAAAATCTTCTGATGAGGGCACCGATTCTACTTTTTCTGTTGATTGAATGTTTACATTGCACATGAGAAGGAACAGGATTTAAAATGTGGTTCTACCACCTAGTGTAATCCCAGGCAAATAATTTAAGCTTTAATTTACCCAGAGAATTAGCTATGGTATAAGAATACCATAGGTGTTAGGAAATGGTAATATTCAAAAGAGAATTCTTTATTACATTGGGGAACACAAAAACGAAGCTAAGGTAAAACATTATACAAAGGAATTTCATTTTATTTTGGCCTGCATATGTATATGAGCATGTATGTAGGTGCATCAAAAAGAAGCTGACACTGGATGTCTTATTCTGCTGCTTACCCCTTTATAATTTACTTTAAAATTTTAAAGTGTATATTTGTGTGCATGTATGAACATGAACAAGTCAGTGCACGTGCCCTTACAGGTCGGAAGAGGGCGTCAGATGGAGCTGGAGGGGCAGGTAGAGGTGGGTTCCTGGGCATGGATTTCAGGAACAGAACTGTGGTCCCCTCCAAGAGCAGCTACTCCATCTCTTCAGCTGTAGTCTTTGAGAAGGTCTCTCACAGGAACAGGAGCTTACATTTTCACAACTGGCTAGCCTGCAAGCCCCAGGGATTCTTTCTCTGACTTTCCAACGCTGGGATTATGAACTGAAGCTTCTAGGCTGGGCTTCTGTTGTGGGTGATGGAGAATAAAATCTGTGTTTGCACAGCAAGCACTGAATTGACTGATCTGTCTCCCTTATTTGTTTTTATAAATAGGATCTCACTATGGAGCACAGGCTGACCTGACCTCAGCAATCTTCTGCTTCAACCTCTGAAATGCTGGGGTTACAGGAGGGTAACACCTTCCTTTCCTAAAAGATGCAAGATATTTAAATTTTAAAATTAATTTGTAAATCAGCCTGCAAAGTAAAGGTCATAACATTTTCATACCTACTTTGTTCTTTTACTTAAGAGTAAATAATAAATTATGCTTTATATATTTTAATTAATATCTACTGGCTACTGAAAAATTAATAGGAATTTATCTTTGTTGTTAAATCCATTCTGGAGATGATACTAGCTAACACAAGACACTGTAGTTGAAGACCTGAGCTAAGGCTACTGTAAACACACCTCAGTTAATGCAGCCTGCAACCCAATGAGTGCCCTCCCACTATAATTATTTATAGAAGGTACCACACTGAGACTAAGGAAGATGAGCAGCTCTCACAGATGATAAAAGTGGAGGCAGGAGTTACTAAGAATGAAAGAAGTAGACTAGAGTCCCTAATGGAAACTGCTCTAGAATGCTCATACCCCAATCTGAACCAGTTCCTGTCTTTCCCAAGCTTGTCCCTATTTCAACTTCCAAAGGGCAAACCCAGGCTCCTGACCACAGAAAACTAAATGACAAGCCAGTCTCTAAGTCACAACGTTGCCTAAATGCTGCACAACCTTGCCCTCCCTTCTGGGATGAGCAGTAGCTGGCACTTATCTAGCCCAGTACAGGTTTCAGAGGCTGTGCATTTGACTCTCGTAAGTCCTTCCACCCCGCCCTCCTCCTCTCTCCCTGTCCTCCCCCTGATGGTCCCAATCCTCATGCCACATGTTTCTATTACCCTCTTTCCTCCTTCAGAGCTCTCACTCCACCCACAGTCCCTTTTCTAGTTTATGTCCTATGCTCCTCCACATATGCCCTTACATATAAAACCGATGCCAGGATCATATATGAGAAAAGACTGTGGTGCTTGAAGAGATTTTTAATGATGAGCAGTGTTAACCTCTTCTCCCTCTTCCCTCCAAGACCATTTCAGTATTATTCAGAGCCTGAGGGAAACAGCTTTGGGGAATCCCCGCTAATCTCTATGGATCCTTCAAGGTCACCAGGGTTCTTCTTCTGTGCCTCTCTGCATTCTTTCTGTCATTGTGGCAACAACAGATCCGGGATATCTCCCATCCTTCAGTTCAGCGTTTTGACTGGGAGTCTAGAGACCTGTGCAGAGTTGCTTGGTCTCCAGTGGTGACTTAAGGCCCAGGATCAGAATGGTTCCCATCATGCCCTCCTTCACAGTTCCTCATGGACCATGCATTGAAGGTGAAGAAGCTCCTGCTTCTCTTTTCTGCAGATTTCAATGAATTTCAGACGAGCAGAGGAGCTTTCTCTCTCTTCTCTCTGCCCTCCAGTGTGCCCCACTGAGATGAATCACTTAGGAGCAAGGTCAATTCCCACAGCCTCCAGTGCACCAACTTCGATGAAGCAGCAGTACCATCTCAAAGTCAGCCTAATCTCTAGGCTTCTTAATAACTATTTTTAAGATTAAAAAAAAATCGTGTAGGTGTTCATCAGTCAAATTAGATTTCAAAACAGTTTTGACAGGAACGAAAACACATCACCGTCGGTATAACATGCATAAAACAAGATACTGATCTTCATTTTCTTTTGGATGGAAGACTTCTTCAAGGGCACTGGCCTACTTTGCTACAAATATAATCTCTTAGGTCATCACAATTGGTACTGTCTATACCATTTTTATGTAAGAAGGCGCAATCACCGTGATCTTGGACTTTCTTCCTGGAACAGAACAAAGGGTAGACTTCTTTATTTATCAGATCCAGCCCAGCCTCAGAAAAATGAATCTAAACTTTGGTGAACACAGTTCAAATGTGTTCTGTGGAGAGGATGCTGTGTAAGCTGTTGTTCTCTTATGAGCCATCACACTTGACCTCGGTACTCTGCCGGGGAGGTACTGAGTAACTCCACCCCTCAGCAGCACAGCCTGGTACTTTGTGCTGCCAACAAGTAAGAAAATATCATAGTCCTTCAGAGAAGGGTCACATTCTTCCATTTATGTTGGTAACGAAAATGACTAAATCAACATATTTAGGCATTTAGAGGTGTTGTGTGGAGGAGTGTAGCTTGCATTTCAGGGAACATCTTTCATGCTTTTCACTACAGGTCTGTTATAACTTTCAAGTGTGGATTTACTTGGCCACTCAGAAACCAATTACATTATGAGATAGATATTGTTTACTTGATATGCAAGGCACTATGCAGAGTTACTAGGAATAGTTTTGAAGTTCCTACTTTAGGTCACATATATAAACATCAAACATTGAGAGTTCAAAATTACAAACTGCCTGACAGTGAGTCTTGGTGAAGTTCTGATTGTAATGTAATCAGTGCCTTATTTGGAGGGGCATGTGTCAGCACTGATATATACTTTGCTGATTTCTTGGAGACCCTCAGTTTTTGATCTTATCCTTTCCTAAGATATATGTGTTTGGTCAGTTCTCCAGTATCCTTGAAGAAGCAGTTGAAAGACCACCAGCCACAGATGCTCAGGTCGGGAGCCCTACATAAAATGATACAGGGTTTGCATAGCTCCTACGCATATCCCCTCATAGACTTCAGATTGTCCCTAAGGAACCGTGCTAGAATTGTGTCTGTGTTATGTAAGTGGTAGTTATGCTCTGTTATCAAACTCTCATGACAAGAAAATAAGCCAGGCATGTTCAGTAGAAACATAATTAGCTTACTCTCTACAGCTTTCCATCTGTGGTTGGTTGAGTCTGCACATGGAGCCTGTAGATGGATAGATGGAGAGGTCCTGCTGTACTCCCATGCCTACACATTCCCATGTGCCCATGTGCCAGTATTCCCATCAGCTGCTATAGGAATCCCATACATGGGAGCCCTACTCTCCATTTAAATATAAGGTATTTAAATATAAGCTTTTAAGAGGACCAAGTAAGATAAAAGACCTTTTTCTTTTAATTGATGTTTTTTGAAATTAGATTCCAGGCCTATCACCATGCCTGGCTTAAAATAATGTCTTGTTTTTTGGAGACAAGGTTTCTCGGTGTTAACATCCCTGGCTGTCCTGGAACTCAATCTATAGACCAGCCTGGCCTCAAAATCACAGCAATCCATCTGCCTCTGCCTCCTGCGTGCCACCACTGCCTGGCAAAACGATGACTTTTGGATAAACACTCATATAATATAATCTGACTGTTTTTGTTTTTCTTTTGCCATGTTGAGAGTGAACCCAGGTCTTTTTGCATGGCTAGGCAAATTCCACCACGGAACTACACTCCCCTACGGCATGTAGCACCAGTGCTCTTTCAAGTAGAAACAATTCAGGCACTTCCTTGAGCACGTACACAGGCTGAGCCATAGGAGGACATAGTGAGGGCAGCGTCTACACACCCAGGCAAGAGGACAAAAGAAACAGAGCCCAACAGCGCCTCGACTGTGGACTTCTAGACTCCAGATCAGTTGCTTACGATGTTCAGTCTGTGTCATTTATTGTAAGATCTTAGCAAAATAGCACTTTCACCAACTCATAGCCTCCCCCCTTTAAAAAAAATAAATAAATGGGAATACATAACATCTTAAACTGTTAAACTGCCAATATTTACTTCAAAAAAGCACCATAGGCATTATGTTTTGTACTCAAAGTTAACTTGTTTCATAGATGTCTTACATTGGTTTTCAAAGTGAAAAACTACAATTATTGGTTATATCGCTGCTTTCACGTCATTGTGTGCTTTTAATCTAAGTTTGATATAAATAGAATGATCGTGGAAACTTCTCTTGGTTGAAGAAATCTCTTGGTGAGGTACAATATAGTAACACCATGGAGCGAACACCTGCCTTGGGAAAGGAACTCGGTGCATGGAAGCCTGTGGCTCCTCTGGGAAAAATAGAATTGTCTTCCGAGCCCTTCCTCTACTCTAAGTTGCAAGAAATTTTAAATGTTTGCAGGAAAAAAAAAAAACAGAGTCTCATGATAACAATTAATTATTTAGGCATGGGACAGCAGAGAAGTTCTGGAATTTTGAATAAAAGGAAATCAAACATCTCTCTTCCCAATCACTTCCCATCCATAATGTTAGGCCCCTGAGGGCTAAAGACAACATAGCTGTCAGTAAATCTTCAGATACTCACTCTCCAGCAGTGAGAGGTGGCATGCATGCAGACGCGCGCTCACACACACCCAGAACATGAGTGCACAGCACATACACAGGAGTAAGCAGGGAAGAGTTAAAATGCTCAGACTTCTGTCAAGTCAAGAATGAAAGGAAGATATGTGCAACCCAGTTAAACACCCAGAAAACAGCCCTGGTGCTTGAGGGCAGATGCTCCCAAAAGACTACCAGTTTGTCTGGAGGTTCTCCTGGGTGTGTGCTGGAGGGCCAGTTTGGGAAATGCAGTTAAAGAGGCAGTGTATGTAGTTGTTTACAGAGTTGGAATTTTTACCATGATTTATAATTAACACTAACTACATCGTATGAAGGCTTACAAGTTATTGTATATACTTTCATCTGCCCAGACCCAGAATTTGCGAAAATTTCGTCTGTTCAGTCCAATCCAAAATGAAGATCGTAGTGTCTCCACGTGGCTCATCAAAGCTTCCTGTGACAAAACAGAGCACTATCAGGAACATCTAGCATCTCAGTACATGAAAAAGCACTGCCCTCGTCTGTGTCCATCACACTTCTACTACAGGTCCTGCAGGGGGCTGAGTAGCTAAACCCCATCTTTGTATTTGCTACAGCAAAGAAAATGAGTCTGTTAAGACTGAAGTTAGAATACAGCACTTTTGACCCTAATTCTGAAACACCTCCTTGTTTTACCTGAAGCAGAAAACTAAAGTCTCTGTAATGAATGGCCTTAAAGACCCTTGTGGCCATACCCATATTCATTCCTCTGCTACAGACAGGTTGATTGTTGATTGCCTGTCTATTTTCAGTTCCTTGACTATTCCAGGCATTTACCTATCTTAATCCCATGCTGCAACTGATACTTCCCCCTAGAGACGTCATCCCCTTGATGTTATTCCTGCGCTCAGATGATATCATTTCATGGAAATGTGACCTTGTCTCCAATCTACCCACTTGATTGTATATAATATACTCTGTAATTTATATATATTTTCTATGAGCATTTCTAGTTATCTATCTTCCCTTTTGACTTCTAACTTCCCCAAAGGTAAAAGATCTGTGTCTTAACTACTCAGCATGATAAGTGGGAAATCTAACCAGTTCCATCTTGGTGTCGAACTTAGCCAGGTTTGCTTCATAGCGTTGACAGTTCTCCTGTGCAGAGAGCCATGCATTTTTATGTTGAAAAAGAAAGAAGCAGTTCTTATTAATTTTATGCCAAGAATTCATGCATATCTTTGCTTCATCTTCGCACGTCTTATTTCTGATGATTCTGGTGGCTCCAACTAAAATGAACATATGACATGAAGAAACTGTCAGAGAAAAACAGTCTGACTTTCAGTGTGAAAGATTCACCTGTATTTCACACTGATAAGACAGGTTTCACTTTCACATTCAATTTCAGTCAAATGTCTTTAGTCGCTAACTCCACGATGACAGGTCAACCAAGAACACAGCGGGCGAGAAAGAAGCATTGCAGAATTAAGATCTCCCTGTAACTTAAAATACTAGTGACCAACTTCCAGAAATGTAATATACTCTGACTCCTTTTCTGATATTTTATACTACTGGAATTCATTTATTTATTCACTTCTCTTAAAATTGGATATGGCGCCTCAGATACTTTCCCACAAACAAATGGATTCCTCTGTAGTCATAACATTGAAGGGTTGGTTCTCTCCCATTGACCTAAGTGATATTAATTGTTTTTTAAAAACAGCATTTGCTCAGAAGTTGATGCTATCGTTTTGTCCTTTGTTCTTGGGGAGAGAAATCAGAAAAGGGAAAAACACTGAAGTTTAACTTTTCCACTTCCCATTTCCTCCTTAACTCACAGTACTAGATATATGAATGTTTGTAATTTAAGAAATGGCACAAGGGGTTATTATTAAGGAAAGGGGTCATAAAAAGGAGAAAGGGGAGAGACCGGCCTCTGGAGACAGGAGCAGCAGAAGAGGAGAAAGAAAAGAGGGTTGGGGGAGCAAGGGGGAGGGGACAGACAGAGAGGAGGAGAGAAAAAAGAGAAAGAAGGGTGGGAGGTGGGCGGGGCCCTTCTAAAAGGGAACACAGTGACTGTGCACAGGTGGTGCTCTTAGCGGCTGCAGCTGAGGGCGTATCCTATCAGAACCCCAAGGACAGGCCAGCACAGCTGTCTGAATACTAACAATGAAGTTATTTGTTTGTAAATAACCCTGAGAGAAACGGTATTTAAGGTATCGTTTCCCAAGCCTGGAAAAACACAACAAATGACTGCCTCCGACTCGAGCCTGTGAATGGGGGACTATTCAGTTGGAATCATTAATTATCAGTAAAGTTCTATATACACAAACCTGATATGACAGAGCAGCAAAAACACTCATTTCACTGGAATTACTTGAAAAAAGAAAGTCCCAAACTATCCTAAAATATTGGATTCAAATAAACAACTACTATCAAAGTCAGATAGTTGGTTCAAAACGTGGGCTATGAGAAATCCAGTTTTATCATTCATTCATCTGCTAGTGTATTTTTCTTTCATTTATACATCCAACCACACACAAGCTAAGCACTTAGCCTGTGGCAGACAGTTAACTTTGCATAGCTGTTGGAATACAAAACTGAATATAACATTAAAAAAAAAAAACCTTTGCTTTTATGAAAGTTGCATGCCTAAAAACACACAGTTGCTCATGAAGTGCATCCAGGTCAAGGGATAAGGACGACTGATGGATACACATTCAGGGTACAACATTCAGGGTAGGGTTAGACAAAGGTGATGCCTAAGTAAAGACCTGAGGAAAGGTGGACTGGGGAGGTGTGTCTGCCTCCAGGGTAGGACTTTTTTTCTAAGTAATGGGAAGAAATAATGCACAGATCTGAGGTGGGTGTGCCTGGCTTGCTCACTAAACAGTGAAGATGTCCATGTTCTTACAGACAAGTAAAGGATTAAGTAGTACAGGACATCAGTAGTCCAGAGTAACTAGGTGCATTAAGGGTAGTGTAGCCATTCACAAGGCTTTTCTCTAAGTGACTGAAAATTTTCCAGCAGTTCTGATGAGTCTTCTTAAAGTAAACTGTGCATATAGGTGCCATCAAGCATATGTGATTATGGAACCTTGTAATGTGGCCGGTTCAAATATGATTCACTTTTATTATAAAGTCAGAGAAGGAAAAATAATGTAAAATTCTCATTTCTAGAAAGTGTGTTACTATGTGATATAGCCACAGTTGCACTCAGAGATCAAGGGTAGAAGACAGACAAACCTTAGAGAAGAAAACGAGGTGCTGGCTGGTTAATGGGCAAGTGAATGGAGAGAGTTCACATTTGGCTCAGTGAAAGGATAGTCATAGTTTACTGGTTATATTTGGAAAGTAGAAAAGAAAAGAGTTTAAAAAATTGCATAAGGTGTGTTGACTTTGAAGTTAGAAGAATATGTTCACTGGTCCCTGAGATGAGGAGGACTGTAGATAAAAGACAGAGCGATGAGGATTTTGGCGTTGAGGCCATGGCTCAGTTAATACATTATTTGCTATTAAAGCATGACTACCTGAACTAAATCTCTAGAACTCAGAGAAAGCTAGGTGTGGCAACACTCTCTTATGATCCCAGCAGTGGAGACACAGATCCCTGGGAAGTGTTGGCAAGTCAGCTAAGCCTAATCAGAGCCTCAGGTCCCAATGAGGGGCCCTTGTCTGCAAAACAAGATGGATGAGTCTTGAAGAAAGACATTCAAGGCTGACTCTGGATTTAACCCATACTCTTGCAAACACACACACACACACACACACACACACACACACACACACACACAGAAAGAGAGAAAGAGAGAGGGAGAGAGGGAAAAAAAAGAGAGAGGGAGAGGGAGGGAGAAATATTTCAGCATGAACATGATTAAGTTTGAGATGTTTATTAGATATTCAAATTGCTAGATTGGTTTAAAAAACAATGATTGCATTCAAAGAAGTGTCCCAGATTGGAGATGCATTTAAGTGATAAAGTTTTGAGACCAGTTCGGAAGGCCAACAATGCTTCAAAGATTGGATGCATGAAGAGACATGTTTGAACACTGTGCCCCTAAGTGCAGGGGGAAAGGAAGGGACAAGTAAAGGAAATGAAGTCCGCAGTGATGTAGGCAGGATACAAACAGGGGGCGTGTACTGACTTGAAGGCCAAACAAAGGAGTTTAGGAAGGAGTTTTAAAATGTGAGCTGATATGAGCTGATGTCAGCACCAACCTGATAGACAGAAGTCAACATTTCATAGCCCTCTTCCTCATCATCAGTGGCTACACAGTTTCCACTCCTCTGTGATAGTCTATGAGTCTGGGATAGGGGAAGGGCTAATATAGATGATTTATCGACAGCTGGGCACTCACAGTTACTTAGATTGGCAGTTTGATCCTGTGTCTGCACCAATGACTACTCGCTTCAAAAAGGTTTTTTTTCAATATCAAGCCAGTTAAAATCCCAACACCAGGGAGGGAGGTCCTCTCTCTGAGATTCCATCCTTGTTGGATTGACAGTGGATCCTTGCAGAGGGAGGGGATGACACATCTTTGGAGACATGGCTGCAAGTAGGTTGTCTATATCTACATACAGGCAGTGCTAATTGGGTTCAGAGGGTTAGCACAACAAAACGAAAAGCATGGAACTGGAAGGGAGTTGCTGCAGACAGTGAAAGGGTGATGGGTATGATCAAAATATATTGTGTAATAGTATGAAATTTTCCGAGAGAAAACATTTTTAAAATGTGGATTGTCAGATAAGATGAAACAGATGATGGCTACGAGAATTAGCGTCATGATGTCTCTGGTAAACTTAACTGCAGGTTCCATGAGAAAAACAGAAGCAGGAACCTGGTCAAAGTGGATTTAATGGAGATTTGGAAAAGGCAGGTCACTGGAGTTTAGTACCATGGCAAGAGCCCAAGCTTAGCAAGAGCAAGGCCCTGGATCAGCTCTAAACACCAACGGTCTTCACAGAACGTGAACTAAGCCAAGCAGTCTGAGCTGGGGATGCCGTCTAGTGGCAGCTCCTGAGACCCCCAAAGAGAGAAAGGAAGGATGAATGGAAAGGAGGAAGAGGCAGGCAGGGAGCAGAGGAGACGGAGAGGAAAACAAAACCAAAGGAAAGATTTCAAGGGGTCCCTGTGTTAGGTAACAAACATCAGCAGCACTTAGGGGAAGGACAGGGGCTAATGAGATTTGGGGTATGCTGTGGCCTGGTTACACTGCTGATGAAGATGTCTCAGTGGACCATCGACAACAACACAACAAGAGTGTGTGAGAGAGGAAGGAGTGGTACTCATGACAGTAAGATGGCTCTTTACCTCTACCACCATCAATGCTGGCTCGATTTCCTGACATGAATATTGCACCTACAAGATCTTACCAGGGAACACACACACCCAGCTGATGGTAAACTTTACCTGACGACCATGACTCATACATAACCCCCTTTCATCCTGCTTCAAACTGAAGGAACTTGTGCACAGTACTTATGCTATTCTTTGACAGCTCTTTACTTGTGATTGTGGGTGTCCAGTTAGAGGGGAAACCCTTCCGGGCATGGAATCCCATTTTTTGAATGAATCAGCAGCAGCTGGCACTCTGAATGCAATGCATATTTATAAAAAGACTGATCTTCTAGGAGATAAAGCGGCCCTGCTGGAACTGATCACTTACATCTTCTGGGAAAACTGAAAAAGCCCCAAAGGAGAACAATAACACCACCACATAGCAGGGTCCAGAGGGTCAGCAGTTTCTTCCCATCTGCGGATAAGGCAAACAGACAGGTCATTATTTACCAGAGGAAAGCAGCAAGCAAACAAAAGCCCCGTTTAAAAAAGAAATCCATATTCACAACTCAGTCATTGACCTATTTGGAAAGGAAAGGAAGGTACTCAGGTGTGCCTTTGCATCTGTGTGCCATTTCTGAGAACTGTGCCATATGTTCCCCAGCAAGACTTGTAGAACAAAATCCCAAGTCCCCACCTTTCCCAGAGGGTTTGGTTTCAATTTGTGATCTTGTTCGTTGGTTTTGCTTTGTTTTAATGAAATGTCTCCTATTTGCAAGGAGGGAGGGAGAGGTGGTTGTGGTGGAGAGGTATGTTATCCGTCTCTATTTTTCCTTTTAGTTTTTAGCCTTTGTGTTGATGATGACGATTGCTTTTGTTTAAGGTGTCCATATGCATACCCTCTGCCTCACAGGCTAATCAAGGGCTACCCTCCCTAGCCCGCGAACAAACCCTGTCTTCTCCTTACCAAACGTTGTCCTGTGACGCCCGGATGCATGGCTTATCTGTGATGCTCTGTGTAAAGTTTCTATCATCATGGAGATGGCACTCTGGTGACTACAGAGGCTGAGAAAATTCTTAGGACCAAAGGAGAAGTGATAATCATATCCGTTGTCTTCACACCTTTGGACTCTGAGGGCTGAGTTTCTCTGGGGTCAGGGACGGAGCAAGACTGTTGGATGGATGATACAGCACCACTCTAGTGTGACAGGTCACACCGAAGCTGTGCTTGGGTTCAGAGAGCCACAAGATCTGTCACTGGCCCTGTCCTCACTGTCCCTGTCCTTGCTCCTCTGTGGTAGTAACGGCAGCAGCGTGAGGAGCCCCAACGGTGTCTTCTAGCAGCCCCTGATTGGCTGGCGATCACCACAGGGAAGCTTGATCGGCATCTACTCTGCCTTCCGCCATGCAATCAGCAGATCATGGCTTGCCTTTCCCTGGACTTTGTGTAGTCCTCCCCAAAGCTAAAACCTCATAAAGCTGTGTAGCTTAGGAGTTATTTCAACTAACTCTAAATTGCACTTATTCTATCTTGGTCTTTGAGGCCCACCCCCATTTGTTTCTGTTTTAATATCTCTGAGTTTTCAACGGTCATACAGGTTGTATAGTGAAATTTGGCAAAAGTAGGCCATTGTTTTTACATGTTTGCGTGGTAAATCAAGGCTGGTTTCCTACGTAGACACTGTCTTCCGCACTACAGCTCAGCATGATAGATTTCTGCATAAGCTGGACCCACACCTACAGATTTCAGTAATTGAAGGAGGGATTATAATTTTGTTGACTTTTAATAAACCCTCTGTAAGGATTCGGGCATTATGCTGGCCTATCCCTATCACCTGGCAGAATGCACTCAGGCAGTACCCCGGTCAGCCCAGGTGCAAAGGACCCCTTTAAAAGACAGACACCTCCCCCCCTCCGCCCACTTATGCTCTCCTTCTGGCTCCTCTCTTTCCCCGATCCTCCTCCTGTCTCCCTCTTCTCTTCTGTCTCTGTGTCTCTTTACCTCTTTTCTCCCCTTCCCTTCCCTTTCTAATAAAATGTCTCACTAAGCTCTGTCTGCCTGGCACGTTTGTTCCTCTGCCTCTGTCACCTTCGCCAGCCATGGAATCTCCCAAGGTCCCCCTCAAGCTTTATCATAACACCCCCAAACACTGAAACTATTCCTCATGTGTGTATTGCAAGGGGTATTTTAGGTCCATCGTAATTAAAACATTAGAAACATGGAGAATTGCCACGGTTTGTATATGCGGTGGCACACACCTGGGAAGTGGCTTGCACTTCTACGTGAGAAGACTCAGCTGTTTAAGTTTGCTTTTCTGTTAACTGTGATAAAACATTCTGCCCAAAACCTACCCAGGGGAGGGCTAGGTTTATTCTACTCACACACTTTCAGGCCACAGCCCATTACTGAGGGAAGTCAGGGCAAGAACTCAGGCAGGAACATGGAGGAGGAACCTGGATTGAGAACCATGAAGCAATGTTGCTCCCTGGCTAACTCTGTTCACAGGCTCGTGTTCATCCCTGGTCCACCCGTCTAGGGATGGTGTGACTCGGAGTGGGCTGTGTCCCCCTGCCTCGGTCATCAAGACAGTCTCTCATAGACATGGTGCTGTTCTGGTCTGTCCCTCAATTGAGACAATTGAGGCAATGCCAGTCTCCTCTCTAGCCAGAGGCAGTCCTTTGTCCTCCACGGGGACAAATACTTCTTCCTCCTTTTTCTGTTCTCTTCCCCTTCTTTCTAGTCCTCTATCTATTTCCTGCCCTTTGCCCACTTGTGCTGAGAACTTGGTCTTGGGGTATCCTGAGCTGATAACTGGTCCTTGCACAATGTGCCCAGGGACCCTTCTGTGTCATTGTTCCCACTCCTATGATTACATGTATGACTGCCATGCCAAGTTTTCTTGTGTGTGGAGGCGACTGAACTCTGGTCCTCCTGTTTGCCCAGAAAACACTTTATATATGAGCCATCTCCTTGGATACTGTATTGTTTAAACTTTGCTTATGGCATTTCTATGTTTATATTTTTATATGAATTTTGATAGCCATCTTAGCATATTTAAAATGTAAAGCTAGCCATTGTACATCATTATGGGGTATAGTGTGATATTTCAGCACACTATTACAATGGTGAACTCAGGCTATTAGGTTGCTTATAGTCTCTTATCCACTAAGCCATCTCTCTAGCCCCTAAGCTACTTATAATCTCAAACATATTATTTGGTGGGGGGGGGTGGAAGCATTCAAAATATTTCATTGTAATTATTTTTAATTATACTCTAAAATAGTCTTTTTAAGTATAATGGAAGTATCCATTATTGTTTTAATTCAACTAATGTTTATTGAAACTTTTACAAATGATTTTACACTGTTAATACTTCTAATGTTAAAGCATGCTTTCCTTTTCTTTAGTAGTTTAGAGTTGTTTCTTCAATACGGTTTTGTAAATATCTGATTTATTTGTACTTATGATTCTTTGGCTTTCTTTTAGTAGGTGTTGTAGAAGAAGTCTCTTTGGTTTGTTATCTTTTAAAAAATTAAAATATAATTACATTCCCCCATTCCTTTCCTCCTTCCAACCTCTCCCATTCTGTCTATTACTCCCTCTAAAAGTCATAGCCATCCTTTTCTTTGATTATAGTTATTTTACCCATATCTAAACAAAGAAATACACACATACAACTCACAGAGTCCATATAGTGTTGCTTGTCTGAACATGACAAGCAGCCTTAAAAATAATGCCAGCCTATCTAACATTATTTGTGTCAATATCACTAAAAATTTCAAAGAAATATTAAAGATATTAAAAAAATAGGCACCACCCACCGATGAGACACCCAGTCGGTAATGTGTAGTTTCCAAACCATGGAAATACCTAGTTTCCCTGAACAACAATACAGCTATGAACCACACAACACAGGGCACTGAACCACAGCTGGGAGCATGCATTCTTACAGTGACAACCACCGCTTGAGGGCTCTGTCAACGCCCTAAGGCAGGAAACCTGAAACCAGACTTACCTTTTTGCACTAAAATCTCAATCCACATGCGGTGTTTCAGTAAACCACCGAAAAGGGAAGGAAGCTGGTACCAGCATGACCCAGGTTATATCTTATGCTATGAGTCAATATTGCCACAGTTTTGAGCTCATTTGCAAGTAGTGGTGGTAGTAGTGTCTCATGTTGTTTGTTTGTTTATTTAGCTAGTTATTTGGGGGGGGGGGTTGAGACAGTGTCTCCCTGTGTAGTATTGGCTGTCCTGGAACTCACAGACATCCACCTGCTTCTGCTTCTCCAGTGCTGAAGGCAAAGTTCCTGTTAATCTAGCCAGAACCTCTGCACCAGAGAGAGAGAGCATGGTCCTTTATCTCTTATTTTTGCATGTCATCTCTGTGCATGTGCAGTTCTCACTAAGCCACTCTTTCTCTAGGAACCTTGACCATCCTACTCACAGGGCACCTTGCTTGCCCCTGTGGTTGCAATAGCAAGCGTTTGAGAGCCAAATCATTCCAGTTATTTCATGCTAGCGAGTTTAATCCTGTGCTGTATCTGCACCGTGTGGTAGGGATGAGTTGTGCAACTTGCCTGATACTATTATTATCCAAACACAATTTCAAAAATTAATGTAGAAATGAAAAAGGGAAGAAATAAGAGGAAGAAAAATGTTTCCCCTTTTGATTTTATTTGTTTTTGTCTGAGGTTTCAAACAGTCTGTGGCTCTTGGGAAGATATGTGAGAGCCTGGCACGGTGGGTTTTTTAAAAAGAAATTCTAGCTTGTGAGATTAGCTTCAGTTTACACACAGAAGAGTAAAGTTCCAGGTAGACTTATTCATCCTCTCTCACCTTTTTCAAGGAACAGTCTGCTTTCTTTGACTACCTATCAATGTCTGAAGAAATTGTTTATGCAAATCTCAAATTCCGGGACTCTGATACGAAAGAAAATACCCAGAAGTCTGAAAAATGTGGGGGGAAAGGTAAGATCATATGTGCTGGATATGATATAAGGCTGTGGCAGTGGTTAGAGCCCTACACTTCTAATATCATGATTACTCAGTGTGAGTTCTTAATTATGCCTTTTGTTTAAGCTCAAAGTGATTATATAGATTTTTTTCCTTAAGGCATAAATCATTTCAATTACAATTTTTTAAAAGTATTCAACTAGATACATGGGACAGGATGGTATTGTCAAATGTGGTGGGTTTTTTGTTAGTTTGTTTTCAAGACAGGGTTTCTCTGTGTGGAGATATTGGTGTTTTATTGTGGAGGGTTTATTTCTGTTGTGTGCGTTCATTATATGAAGCCATGGAACTAGGACTATATATTGTGCAGGAAAGTTATAGAATTATGTGTTCCTTTTTTTATAGTTTTGAAAAGTGAAATGCTTGCAGAATAGGAGAAAGAGAAAGCAGGAGAGGGAGCATGTGTGTGTGTGTGTGTGTGTGTGTGTGTGTGTGTGTGTGTGTATGCACGCGCGCACATTGGAGAGAACACTTTTCTGCCTTTTTCCCCTCAATGTTCATGGAGCTGAGTCTGGTCCAGGTTTCCTTGGGCTTCCTTGTTTTATCCTAGCAATCAGATCTCTATTCTTTGTTTTAAATTTAGATTATATTTAATGTGTGTGTGTGTGTGTATTTGATGAGTGTGTGCATGCATGTGTACTATGAGTGTGTGTACATGTGTGTATATATCTGTGTGTGCACTGACCACAGTGCATGTGTGGAAGCCTGAGGACATCTTGAAGAGTCGGTCCTCTCTGTCTGCCTTGTGAGCCACCAGGGATTTAACTTAAGCCAGGTGCCTGCACAGCAAGTGCCTCTGGCCCCAGAGCTACCTCATGGCCTGCTACCACTAAGCTGTCACTGCCCCTCTCTGTAGCACCCAAGCTACGATCTGTACCACTAATTGGGCAAAGTCCTAGAGAGTTCAGTAAAAGACAAGACAGCAGGTCATTGTGCAACAGGAATGCCATTTAATGAGGGGAAGGAGCAGGCTTATATACTGACTCACAGCACAATGGAAAACAATCAAGGGTCAAGTGTGAAAGCTCTCGGGCTTAGTTCCTCCCCAGCAGGTATGTGTTAGCAAAACAGGCAGAGTACCAGTAACCAATCTGGGGCAAGAAGTTCCCAGCCAACAGCTTCAGGCTTGCTCAAGGTGCCTCGGAGGTCCATGCAGGGCCCCCTTTCTTTTATTATAAACTAACACCTGTCTTAGGCAGCAGAGGACATCAGCATAATTCCTAACCCATCATGGGAGAGGTCACACAGGCCTGTAACCTTCCTGTCTTAGGTTGGATATTTTCCCCCTTCTGCCTTACCCGTCTCTGGTGATTTGTTTGTAAGTTCAGCCATACTTGGGCAGAGGCATTCTCTTGAGCTAAAGATAGTAGAATCCATCTTGTTTGAAAGTTGGCCTGGGCCTGTCTAATGCTGTGGCAGTAGTGTAGGCAGATCAGGCAGATAGCACCAAGAGCGAGGGCTATGAGCCCCAGTGATAGAGAGAGCTTGCCCATCTCTAATTAATCTGCCTGCAAGTTGAAATCCCTGCAATCCGTCTTCTGCACCGGAAGGTGGTACTCGGGGTTCATATGGTCTGCATGGCTAAAGCATGTGTATAATTTAAAAACTGATCACTCCAGGACCCCTGGAGAAACCTAACTACAACTGATGCATTCTCAACTTTAGTAGGTGTAACACAGATGTGTGTGAAAGAGAGAGGACAAGAAGCCATATGGGCCTCCCACAATAAATCCAACTGTTTCTGTAGGAGGCTAGTTTGTAGGTTTAGTTTTAAAATGCCAATTTGTACTAGATTATCGAGTGTGTTTTGGGTGGCTAAGGCTACAGCCTTAGTTTATCTACCACGCTAGCAGTTTATCCACCGTGCTAGCAGTATTTAAAAGATTGGGAGAGGGCTGTCCTCGAAACTGTTGCTGCAGTGGCGGAGGTGACAATGGTAGTAACAATCTCAGCCGTGATCCCAAAGTCTGCTTTCCTCTGTGCTGCACAAGTTGGTCATCTGTAAATGAGGTCTCCAGCATGGGTACCACCTCGGGTACTCAGACCATGGCAGCTGTTGTTTCTTACACCCAGCAGCTAACCTCGGCAGACCTGCTAAGAACAACAGAGACTTCCTCCAAAATTTGTAGCATTAGTTACAATGAAAAAGAAGGGAGTCGGAACACAAGTGACTGAAATGCAGGTGAAATTCTTATTGTTTGGATCAAAGTGTAATTTTATAGATTCTTTACCGAAACTCTAATTAGTGGTCAGGAGAAAAAGCCACATCTGTGAGCATCTGAGAACCTTCTGAGAAAAGGTAATGGCTCTCACCTGGCCCCCTCTCAGTGTGGCTCTACAGAGCTGCATGCAATCACTAGGGGTGCAATTTAATGCTGTGAAAGACTAAAAAATTGCCTGCGTGAAAGGAGCACTGGTCCCATAGGCAGTGGCAGCCTGCTTAAGTTGTTTCATATCCTTGAAATTTAGTGGGCTGAGCTCCCTAACCCTGTTACCCTGAGGATCCACTGTCTCAATCACAATAAAAGCTTGTCTTTCCTTTCCTAATGCTTCTACCTTGGTTATTAAATCTTTGACCTCCTCCTCTATCCCTCTCAGCACAGAGGCCCCACTAAAGGGATCACAAGAAAAGGGGTTGTGCTGAGGAGGATGGCATTTGTGCTCATCGTCTTCAGCAATTCTTTGTTTTAATTGTTCAAGTTTTGCTTCCAAAGTCTCTTCTGCATCAGTTACAGTAGGACTATCATCTCCTAGTTAAGAGCCATCTCATTTCTGGATAGATTTCACAGATTCTAAACCTTGTACTTCCTCAAAAGTCTTACTCATCCCTGCCATTTGTTCTTTTACTTTGATATTGTTGCTCAGGAGCGCATCTTTAACTAGACTTTTCCAAAAGGAAAAGGTGACAATAGGGAAGTTACCAGCCTCCTCTTCTTTACAAGCCTTTTGGAGATCTCCTTTTACCTGTTCCAATCAGGGATGTTTAAGCCTCTAGAGTATATAAACCAGGGACTATGTTTTTCTAATATGGCAATGAATGTTTTAGCTGTCTTAGTTTTAATCCCAGTGCCGTCTTTTCAATAGGGCCACTAATATCCTTAGAGTTACTGGCACCCATCCTTCAGTACACCCTCATTCACTTACTTTGCCAGCTGGCCTCCCAGGGCGATCTCTTAGGTCGTCCTTTCTTCCCGACCTCAGTGGGACCTCCACTTGTAGCGCTGGAGCTACAATCTGTTCCACTAATGGGGCAAAGGCCTAGAAATTTAAATAAAAGACAAGACAGCGGGTCATTTGTGCAACAGCAATGCTGGAATGCAGAATGCTCTTTATTGAGGGGAAGTTGCAGGCATATATACTGACACACAGCACAGTGGAAAACCATCAAGGGTCAAGTGTGCAAGCTCTTGGGCTTAGTCCCTCCCCAGCAGATGGGTGTTAGCAAATCTGGCACAGTACCAGTAACCAATCTGGGGCAAGATGTTCCAGCCAACAGCTTCAGGCTTGCTCAAGGTGTCTTGGGGGTCCATGAAGGGCCCTACATACTTCCCTACTGTTTTAGTAATGCTGAGCAGTCTAAACATCACTTTCTTTGCCAGGCTTAAGGGAGCACTTCTCTAATCTCAGCTACTAAAGAGGCTTAGGCAGGAGGATTACAAATCAAGACCTGCCTGGGCTGCAGAGTGAGTTCAGAGTCACCCCAGCAGTTAGTTTAGTGAGATCCTGTCTCAAAATCAGAGGTAGGAAGAGATCTGAGATTATACCTTTGTGCTAGAGCACTTGTTTAGCATGTGTGAGGCTCTACTTTCACTATGTGACACACTACAAACAGCACTCATACCACACGGAAACCTAAGTGAAATTCCTCCACACTGGGTGTTCTCTGAAACGTTTCCTCCTGAATTTCACTGTTCCCGTGCTTTTGATGTTCTTCTCGTCCTGACTTCTTGCTTGTGCTCTTTGGTGGCTCACTCCAGGGCATTTTCCAGATAGAGACTGGAAGATTTATTGTACTCTCACTAACAATAATTTTACAAAATATTAAGACATAAAATTTTATATTTTATACATCTTTTTGAGAGATTTTTACAACATCGTTATACTATCATATATATATATTAATATGACAAATTTCAGGAACCTCTATTCCTGAATATTAGGTAATTCCTGAATTACTTTCTTGAAACAATGTTTTCATATATCCATATATGGTGATAATTTAAATCATGTTGTACCTTAACAGTAATTCAAAATTATTTGTGGGAAAATGGTCTAGTCTGTGATTCATTGTTCAGAAAATAATAAAAATCATCCCATCACAATGTTTTGCTAGAAAATATTGAAAAGATTGTAATGAGAAATGCAGATCCAGATTAAGGGAGGTGGAGAGCTGGTGAGGGATGTCCAGACTTAGCCAGTGACAGCCTGCTCTGTCTGCCTAGCCTCACCTCTGCATTCCAAGACTCCTCAGCCTGACTTGGCTTCCCTTAGGCTCAGACACTCACTTTCCACAACTGTATATACTGATATGCGCTACCCGTAGCCTCCCTTTTCCTTCCTCCTCTCTACTTTAAACCTTTATCTTTACTCTTTTGAATCTTTCATCAGTCCAAGGGTGAATGTCTTTGTTTATGAGACTCCTCATTCATAAGAACTTCCTGAATGTTTCTTACTTTAAAAGAGAAAAAAAATATCATTGCCTTAACCTTATTAGTAAGAAATTTAAGACTTTTCATGAACAAACAATTCTAGGGTGTAATACAGCATAGTTAAAGACTCAAAACCTATCCGATTATTCTTGAAAAAAATTAAAGCGTTTGGGTTTCCAGCAAATTACTTTTCATTATAAAATACACAATAAAAGGAGATGAGGGGAGGGTGAATGAATGAGTGAGTGAATGAATGAAGTTAGGTGTGAGCTGTTTCTTGAACGCTGTGCTCCTTTTTCTTTTCACAGTACCTTCCGCCCCTTCCCATTCACAGCATAAGACAGCGTTGAGTCTGACTGTTCTGTGCCTTCTCCTGCTGGCTGGACTGGGAGTCCTAGGAGGATTGTGTATGTATCTCCCCATCCTTTAAAAAGAAAGTTTACACTTAATTAAAATATAATGGCTTCATTCCTCCCTTTCCCCTAAAATTCCTCTCATGCCCCTGCTTGCTTCTCCTCAAATCCATTGCCTCTTAGTCTTTAATCATTATTGTAACATGGGTATATAAGTAAATATATAAATGCAACCTGCTGAGTTTGTGTAGTGTTGCATATGTGTGTGTGTGTGTGTGTGTAGATATTTTAGGGCTAATTTAGAATGCCATGAGTTGTTGAAACAATGTTTATTCTTTGAATTTGGCTTTTCCTGACCCAAAGATGGTCTTATAATATAATGTAGTCCATTAAACATACATTCTACCTCCTTCAATAACTCCCATAGAAGAAGCCTTTTCCTACCACTTTATTATTTTGATACTATTTCTTTTAAAAAATTCACAAAATTTCTAAAAGTCATAGGAATAACTGAGAATAAGTTTGTTGTTTTGCTATTTTGTGTTTTTTTTTTTTAATCATCTATTCTCTTCTGTCTTTTAAAAAAACCTGGAGTCTATACAACTTTGGAGACAGAAACCATAAAATCAAATGAACTACAAAGCATCAAGGAAGAACTTAAGAGAAATATTTCCCTTCAGCTGATACACAGTCTCAACAGCTCCAAGGAAATCAAGAACCTCTCTGCTGTGCTGCAAAGGATGGCCACCCAGCTGTGTCGTGAGCTGTATAAAAAAGAACCAGGTAACCCTGTATTGCTCACAAAACTGTTTCCTGAGCAACAAATGAAACCTTAGGGTTCTTGAAAAATCAGTTTCTTGCAGAGCCAATGTTAAGTGTGGAATGAAATGCATTTGGTAAATGAGTCATTGATATTTCCCCGTAGTGAGGAGGAAAGCATGAAAGCAGAAATAACTACACAGCCAGTTTAGAAGGTTCTGACCACTCCACAATGATGCAGCAGACAGTAATACTCAGTTTCTTTAATCTGCACTTTATTACCCTTGTCCTGGGCACAAAGCTCAAGAGGTGGTAGTTAGGGAAGGATGCCTCTTTATACATCACCCCATTCCTACATTTCAGCTAGTGCCGAAGGAGAGAAAGGTCCTAGCAAAGAGATGAAGTCTCTGGTGATGTATGGAACCAGGGGATCGGGTGCTACCTTCCAGTGCTTGTGTAGTTTTTGTGGTTAAACTTTGTTCCTGTACTTCTAAGGAGTCTCTAAAATATTCCAGAAGTTGAGAGCCAGAGAGACAGCTGCTGCATCAACCAGACCCACATGGCCTGGTGAGTCTGGTTTTTACTAGATAGCATTCGCTGCTGTGATTTAATTTTAGAGTCTGTAAGTGAGTACAAACAAAGGAAAACTACCCACATTTCCTAATGATGGACAGACAATACATTTGAATCTGGCCAGGTACCTGAACATTTTTGCTTGCCCAAGTTATGTTCCTAGGGTGATGCATAGGGATGTAGAGGACTCGGTTTCTTTCTCATTGTCCTAAAGAGAAGCAACACAGTCAATCTTGTCAGTGTCACACAGGCAGTAAAGGAATAATAGTCAAGAGTGTTCACACGAACCTGCGCGACTCTGTCCTCCTTCTAGAGCACAAATGCAAACCTTGTCCAAAGGGTTCGAAATGGTACAAGGACAGCTGTTATCTCAGACTTGGTGAATCAGGAACATGGCAAAACAGTGAAATGCTGTGCTCTGCTCGGAATGCTAGCCTGCTGAAGATTAAGGACAAGAGTGTGCTGGTAAGTTCCTATGTCTCTGTTCCCTTGGGAAGGAATCACTTTGCATCAGGAAACGAGGGAGGGGTGGAGAGGGACATGTTGGGAAGACTCACGGTGACCCACTCATGACTCAGAATCACTTGCGTTGCATGGGGAGGGGAGTGGGACTTGCACATCTGTCTTAGGGAAAAAATCACAGTCAAGCTAAAACCCACAGGCTTTAGCTTAAGCAGAATCTTAGAAGCTACAAGATAGAAGGGTAGATCAGGGACTCCCAGAATCCTCAGATCTGTTATTTCCAAGTTGGAAGTGTAGATGCAGATTTTCTGTGTATGCTCCAGAATAGCTATCCAAAGACAGAGAGTCTGACCATCGTGGCTAGGGCTCACTACCCCTATAAAAACACACACACAGGAGGATATTCTTTATTGTGAATATATTATATTTTTTATTTACTTAGGCAAAAAGGCAAGGTTAAGCCAGATAGGGTGATACTTGTTTAAGTAACTATACTGGGTTGATAAAGAGGAGGCAAATGTTAACCAGACATATTGCACAGAGTAATTAGGATCAATGAAAAACGAATCCTTTGGTTTGTTTATGTCTAAATCAGTGGTTCCCAACCTTCCTAATGCTGCATCCCTTTAATACAATTCCTCATGTTATGACCCCCCCACCATAAAATTATTTTACTACTACTTCATAACTCTACTTGTGTTACTGTTAGGAATTTTAGTGGAAGTAACTGATATTTCTGATGGTCTTAGGCAGCCCCCATGAAAGAGTCATTTGATCTCCAAAGGGATAGTAACCCATAGGTTAAGAACTGCTGGTCTAAACAATGCCTTTGCATTTCTCTTATTAGTAAATAGTTCTGGTCTCTCATATAGTAATCCTTTACTATTTTCTTTCTTTCTTTCTTTTGAGACAAATCTCACTCAGTAGCCCTGGCTTATCTCAAACTAACAGCAATCCTCCTGCCTCATTCCCAGGTACTGGAATTAACTGTGTGAGCTGCTGATCCTAGATTGTAGCGATTTATCTTGGAGTAAAAGTATATCCACTTAATAGCTCAGCTTCTCTGCCGTATGAAACTTGGTCATCTTTTATAAGAGAAGGGAATTTGATTGGTTATGCTCTCTCATTGACCTTTATCAATAACCATACATAATTACTTACTTAAATACAAACAAACAACAACAACTGGCTTTAACAGGAAAAGACATTACTTTGGATGAAGCATTGTGCCCTGACTCTGGGTTCTGTAGCTATTGCTCTACTTTGACTCTACTCTATTACAACAGCTCTAGTCCACTTCCCTTTTTCTGTTAAGTCTGGCTTGAAGTCATTAGCCACCTCCTGTGCCCCAGACTGAATATTCACTACCCAAATATTTAGAGCTGGAAAACTGTTAAGCTTTTCATTGACCCTATATTAAGGTTATTCAGTGAATCAGTAGGCTCTTTTGTCACCAGTGGTGAAGGCTTAAGAGATCTCAGAGACTTCAGTCCACTTGTTGCCAAGTTCCTGTAGCCATCAGACAGACACAGAGAGTGAACAGTTGAAACATTTTGTGAGAAAGTAAACCAGCAGAAGGGATGTGAGCTTCTCAAGGGAAAGTCTCATCGCAGAGTCTGTATGGCTTGTTTCATGAGAGATTCTTAAATGAACTAGGATTGACCAGGATTGACTCCTTCTATTCTTACACGGGTAGAGTAGTGTATGTTGTGGTATTAGATGCATTATGGAAGCTGCACTTGATGCAGGGCTGACCACACCATAACAATAGAGCAAAGGACTGTTGCAGTTACCAGGGCCTGACTAGCTAGGGGTGATGTTAGTTTTTACTGTTTGAGCAGTTGCACGATGTCCTGCTAAACCACAGTTCTGTGATTGCAGCTGCCCCCCAGCACTTGAATTTCCTCCTCATTCTTCCCTATATCTACACAGCAGGTCCAGCTTTCTTCCTGCTAGGCAGGGAACTGTGCTATAAAAAAATGCTAACATCAGTGGGGGGAGGGATGCAAACCTTTAATCCCAGCATTTGGGAGGCAGAGGCAGGTGGATCTCTGTGAGGTCGAGACCAGCCTGGTCTACAAGAGTTAGTTCCAGGACAGCCTCCAAAACCACAGAGAAACCCTGTCTCGAAAAAGAAAAGAGGAAAAAAAAACTTGTTAACATCTTAAAAATCACTTTGTTTCTTTTAAGTGACATTGAAAGGTGGTAATGTTAGGCCAAAACTATCATGTTAAAACAGTAGCCTGCAATGTGTGATCCTGTGAGGTAGTATACAGACATAAGAAACAGTTTCTTAAACAGGCCATCTCTGTTTCTCTAGGAATTTGTAAAGTCGGAAAGCTTAAGTAATTATTGGCTGGGATTGTCACCCAGAAGAGATCAAGCAAAATCTGAGACACTAACTGAGAAAATGTTTCTCTCTATAGGGTAAGTCTCTGTTCTTGTTGGGTTTTTATGGTTAGGCTTGAAAGGAGACAATGTTTCTCTCCGCAGCATAGTCTCTAGTTGGATCTTTATGGTTAGGCTTGGATGGAGACAGTGTTTCTCTTTGCAGGGTAAATCTCTGTTCTTATTGGATTTTTGTGGTTAGGCCTGAATGGAAACAATGTTTCTCTCTGCAGCATAAGTCTCTATTCTTGTTGGATTTTTGTAGTTAGGCTTGAGTGGAGATGTATCTTCAGGAGCTTGGCTGAGTGCCTTTAAAAGCAGCTTCAGATGACAGCTTGTCTTTAAAGGCAAGTTTCTCTACCAGCAGGGTTTTGTGATTTACTAGATTATGTAGAAAATGGCCATACACGTCTTTTCACCAGGTTGGCAAATCTCCAGTAACCTAGAGTAATCAAATTATGGATTGTGTGTGTGTGTGTGTGTGTGTGTGTGTGTGTGTGTGTGTGTGTAATTAATGCTTATAGTTAAGATTGCAAAAGCCAAAACCATTCACTAAATACCTTTAAATACTTAATATTGTTCTATATTCTGGAGTTAAAAAAGGTGAATGCGAGGTTGACAGGGCTCTAAATTACCTAAACTTGGGCTGTATGTTTGTGTGTTTGTGTGTGGAATGTGTGTGTGTGTGTACCCAATGCAAGTCAGAGAATAAATTCTGAAGTCATTCTTCAGATGTTTTCCACTTTTTGAGGCAGAATCTCTCTCTGGCCCAGAACTCTCCAAGAAGTCTAAGTTACCAGCGAGCCCCAGGGATCTGGTTGTCTATTTCTCCCCAGTGCTAGGATTATGAGCTCAGATTTTATGCCAGCTCAGATTTTATCCGTGGGCTCAAGATTTTGTACTTGCTAAGCAAGGACTCAATTAAATTACCTCCATAGCCCTGAAGTGGAGATTGTTTAGTGTATTATTTGAAAACTCACTGGATGAACAGCATAAAAAAATAATACAAACTTCTCTATAGATTGCATGATTTGTAAGTGTATTTATAACTTACTAACATATTTAGGAAGGTATTTATAAATATACTGCAATAACTGGATTCATACATTGTATTTGTTCTGCTTTTTAATGAGACCAAATCAAGGCCTTACAAAACCATGTGAAAATTCCACTTGTATTTATAATTCATGAAATTTGGGAAACAGAATATGAATCTAGAAAAAGAAATTGTAGTCTCGGTCTGCTGGTGTCATTGCAGATCCCACATTCATCACAAGGTGCACAAGAGAGCAGTGCTCACACAAGTGTTACAGGGCATTCCAGCCCTCGATCTTGATTTACAGGCAGCTGTAAGCTGGATGCTGGGGACCGAACTTTACTTCTCTGCCAGATCCAAGTGTGCTTTAAGGACTGAACCATCTCTCCAGCCCTGTTACCTCCCCCACCCCCAAACTTTGTTTGTTCCAATACTGGGGATTGAATCCAGGATCTTGCTTTGGATATGCAAGAATACCACCATCCTGTTGCATTTCAATGCCCCCCCCAACCTCCACCCCACACACATATTTGTTAGTTTAGGACACACTGACTAAGAAGCCAGCCAGGGCCACCTGTCTGAAAGTCTACCATGCTGAGGGTAAGTAAGCACTGAGAATTCTGCACACACATCACCACTTTGTCAGTGACAGGAAGGGATCCAGCTGAGACTGTAGTGCTGGAATTGTGCAGTTGTGAGTGGTTAAGGATGATTGGCCAAGAGCTTGTAACAATTTCTTAGGAGAAATTAAGAAGAAATATCTGGAAAGTAAGTGGCTTCAATTTATTTAAAACAAAAACAAAAAAACAAAGAACAAAAACAAACAAACAAACAAACAAACAAAACAACAAAAACCCTGAATGTATTTTTCCCTGCACAGTGAAAAAGCACCCTTAGCCTTAACATCACACTTCCCCTGGTTTTCCTTCTGATGCTAAAACATCCTTGTGATACACAGGCTGACTTGGTTTAGCAGTTTTTCCACAGTCTAATTAATTAATGCCTTTCAGTAGCTGTAGTCCCTGCTTCATTAGCATTTAAAATTTAAAGATAGTAAAGCATCATGCAATCTATCGGGGGGGGGGGGGTCCTCATATCCTCCTTCTGTTTAAAAAGCATCTCTTTTAGAGTGTGACTAGATGTTTCAACACTCACTTGTCCTGTAGGATTATACAGTATCCCTGTGAAGTGTTTTATGTTATAATGTGCAAAAAAAGTTTTACTTTATTGGGAACATAAACAGGGGCACTATCAATTTTAATTTGTACTTGTATGCTCACTGTAGCCTTTGCCCCTATTAAACATGTAATTATAGAATCTGCCTTTTCAGAACTTACAGCCGATGGATGCCCATTCAAACCAAGAGTGTGTATCAATGGTATTTTAAAATTTCAAATACTGTTAAATTAAATACATACATTTACTCTGTGTGTGTGTGTGTGTGTGTGTGTGTGTGTCTATGTGTACTTTTAGGATTATTCCTGCAGGTAAAGAAACTTGATTATACAAAGAACAAACAGGACAGTTTTTTTTTTTTCTTTCTTTCTTTCTTTCTTTTTTTTAATAATTTCTTTAGCTTGTTGCCAGTAATGGGATTTCTTTTAAGCCTTTACTATTAACATGATGTGTCTTATAAAATTCTGAAGCTTTTAACACACTTCCTGTCAGTAATTGATCAATTTCTTCGTTTCCTTTTGCTAATGGCCCAGACAATTCAGTATAAGATTGAAGATGAGTGATAAGTAGTTCACACAATACTTGTTGCAGTTGCATGGATAGCAAAGTTTATTCTGAATTATCAGGAATAAGTTCAGCAGTTTCTATACACCATATAACCTCTTATGCATAGTGAGAATCAGTAGTTATTAAGAGGTTCTTTAAAGTCTAATAAAACCATTAAGATGGCATATAACTGATTTTTTTAACAGAAGCATATGACCTGTGAATTACTTTACTTAGGTTTTCTGGTTTATAACCAACCATTTCTAACTTATTTGTGTCAGTATAAAATGTAAGAGGCCCAGAAATAGATGCCCTTTCCAACATGCACCCATACTCCAAATTTGGATAGCTAATTCCTTTTCTTCCCCCCTGTTGTTGACCAACCTGTATAACCTATGATTTTCCTTGATAATTGTTTCTAATACCTTTTCCAGAAATGTATCCCATTTTTAAAGATCATTTTATGGGCTGTTCCTGAAATTGTAGGAATATTAATTTGAGTTTACCTTTGTTGTAACAAATCCCTCCCCCATACATTTATGGCTATATAATAAGGCTTTAATATTCATATTTGTGTTTCAGGCCCTAAACATTTGATCCATTCTATACTTGGTTTCATCTGAGATAATGTTCTAATGCCTCAAAACTGAGTGAAACCATCCTCTAAAGGCCTGTAAGGATCCCAAGACTCTTGAGAAGTTGTAGATATGTAAGCTCCAGTGTTCACTAAACCTTCAATCTCAATGCCATTTACTTGTAATTTTAGTTTTGGCCTCTTGTCATGTCATTAATAACAGTTTGCCACAATACTTTCTTTCCAATGCTTATAACACCTCCTGTTTGAGATATTGGAGCTGCTTTACCTTTAAGAAATGGAAGTAACAACAATTGAGTAATTCTATCATCAGCTTCTATCTGCATGGTCGTTTTTTTAGATAAGCCATCTATAAAGGCATGAAAAACAATCTCTATAGGATTTTAAGAGGTAATTTTAGGCAATACCCAGGAAATATTTTCATAAAATCTTAAAAGGTGGACCCGTTTTTATAGATCTCAAGTAACACATTAATTTAACTTGTCAATTATAAATAATGTGGAACAAATAATTTATCTGTATTTTATTTAGTGGAAAAATGGTTTTTGTAGGCTCTTTATCAGCAAGAGATTATTTCTATGAGCGTTTGATTTAGCAGCCATATTTAACAACCACTCTATTTCAGGTGCTGCATTTTTATGGAATTTAGCCAAGTTTATAGACAGCAACTTAAAAGAACAGAGGCAAATTCTCATAATGATAAACAGACAAGAGCATACCCAATAATATTGTTCAAAATCATGAATTTTGCTCTTCTAGTTCATTTACTATGAAAATTAAACATGTATTACTCAGATGATCAAGAGAAAACAACGTCTTCCATACAATGAATGACTAATACCTCTGGAAATTCAAACATCATTGACTTAGTAATTTATGCCCTGACTGAAACTGTCTTTACCAGAAGTTGGGCTTGTTGAAGGGGTGTTGGTGGTGGGGATAAAAAACAAAACAAAAACAAAAACAAAAGTCATTTAAACCAAATTTAAGGAAGAAAAAAAAATCCCAAAAAACAAAAAACCCAAAAAACAAACAAACAACAACAACAACAACAAACCAAGAAAATTCTAAGTTCTGGGCCAGCTGTGCTAGCTCAGGGTGAATCAGCGAAGCCCTGCCCATCCTTCTTTGATATTCAGATACCAACTCTTCTGATGGCCTGCAAGTCAACAAGAGCAACAGGTAGGGAGAGCCAGGGAAATTGGGGTTGCAGTTGTCGTGAATTTCTTCGTGATATTGGAAAGAGCCCTTTTCCTTCCTCTATTCCTACTGGAAGATTTTTGTTTGTTTGTTTGGTTGGTTGGTTGGTTTCCCTTATTTTTTGTTTATGGGGGCCTTTGTATTTCTAGGCCTTGATTCAACAAATGGGAAAATACCTGTTCTCAATTAAACATTTGTCCTTTTTCTTTCGAGGAATTTTCTTTTTTATTTCCTTCCTTTTCCTTTTCACTACTTAAAAGGGCCTTTCCCCTTGATTTATTCTTTGCCTAAGGAGCCATTTTACTTGTTGCCACTCCTGAGAGGGGGAAGTTCTCCATGAACCTGACAAATCCTGAGTCCTCATACTCAGAGAGTGCACTTTAAAAAAACAAAAAACAAAAACAAAAACAAAAAAACAAAACAAAGCAAAAGAACCCTCCAGTCCTGGAGCAACTAGATCTCTTCTTTCTCCAAGGCCCATGATGTTGGGCGCCAAGGGTGGGTGTTGTGTTTTTTGGTAGGTCTGTGGAAGAAATTGGGTCTCTCCAAGATGAGTCTTGGCTTAAGAGCAGCAGAGGAGCCACTTTCTGGTGACCTGACTGCCATTGCTTCGCAACCACCTCCACCCCTTTTCTTTAGTGTCACACAATCTACACCTTAGCAAATGAGTTTCTGCACATGGACACCTCTTCTCTGAAACTCCCAAGGGAAACAAGTGACAGAGCAATTCTCAGCCACCAAACCTCTTGGTTGGTTCTCCAGAGTTCTTCTGCAACCGATTTTGCAGAGACTTTGAACTCTTCAGGAAGAACTCCGATAAGCTTCAGACGCTTCAAACAAAACGCAGCTGTTGGAAAAGGTAACGGTCACAAAGATAACACCACAAAAGGCAGTTCAAAGTCCAGATGCTAGCACCCTGAATTCAAGCCGGCTAAGGTGCACAGCTCCCCAGATTTCCCGCTACAATAAAGGGGATACGATCAGCAGATGTTTGATAATATCTAACAATCCTTAAATAATCATTATATATGGTGTGTGTGTGTGTGTGTGTGTGCGCGCACACACACACACACACAAGTGAGTGAAATTTTGTTGTTATTCTCATGTTTGGGGCTTTTTCTGGAAGATAGTGATGTTTACTTTGACATTATAGAAAAACATTTTTTTTCAACATGTATTTTACTTTTAATTAACTGTCTCTTTGTATATCTGTGTGTATGAGTATTCAAACATGATTTTAGGTACCTGGCAGCCAGAAGCATTGTATACCCCAGAGCTGGAGTTATAGGTGCTTGTGAGCCACTGTAAGCTGGGGGCTGAACTCAGATCCCCTGGAATTTCCATTTTAGCCACAGAGCCATTTCTTCAGCTCCCTAGAAATCTCATTCTTGAAAATTGAAAATTTAACTTGCTACATCCTTGTACTGCCTTAGGGGTGGACCTACTGGGGTGGTAAGGGATTGAAGAAAAGACAGGCACACATGCACACAGGAAGGCTGGGCTCTCTGGTGGAAAAGCCAAGGTATCTCAGAAGTTCAGTGTGTTTAGTATATACGTTGGACTCTTGGAGGAGGGTGTGCAACTTCATACAGATAAACCAAGGAGGCTGGTTTAGTTGTTCTCAATAGGGACAGTCTCTGAAGGGGAACGGGTTTAATTGATCTCAGTAGAAACAGTCTCGTAGGGCAACACTCTTAAGGCCACAAATATCTAAGGGGAAGACTGTTATGGTGGACTTTTCTACACCATCAGCAACTGTACATGGACAGGATGAAGGGCTTTCCCATCCTTCCAAGCATCACTCTTGGGGATGGGTAGGGAGGAAGACTTTTTCATCCCTTTGAGCCTCACTGGAGGGAGAGAGAGGATTTGCCATCCCGCTAACCCTCACCCTAGGAGGATGAAGTCTTTGCTATTTTACTGTAGGTCTGAGGCCATGGTCCTCAACATGGCCAGCTCATGTCAATAATACACACTTACTTAAGCCTTCCCCACACCCATGGCTTCTTCTGCTTCCAAAAATAACTAATGAAATTATTTGATGACCATTATTATTAGTTGACCCCCCAAAAATTAATGTTATGTTTATTAAAAAAATAATGTTTCTAATTTATAAATATGCATTTATGATTACTCATCCAATGTTATAAACTACTAGTCAGAATGGAGTATATGAGACATTGCTAGGAGGAAACGGCACACAAGAGATGATGCAGGGCTTAAATGTTTCCTAAATTAGGTTCATTCTAGTTTGGTGAAGACGGTGCCACTGTTTTACTACAGGAAGTGAAGGTAGACACTTGTGGCGTGGCATTATTGTAAATCGTATCAGCCGTGGGAAGCAAGGTTAGTCTGGAAACAAATGACAGAAAATATTCCAGATGTGGGTTTCACCTCACATATGTATACCCCAGTCATCAACTCAAATTTGACTTAAACAATAGAACACACACGCAATAATTTTGTGTAGAAAATTCTCTTCTGTGGGTGTAATCAAACTATACCTCATCAAGTGTCCCTGCTTTTCTCTTACAGGTTTGAAAGAAGCACATATGACTTAAGTAAGATGTACTGCGGATACATAGAAAGGACATATGTCTACTATTCACGTTGCACTCTGAAGAAAAATGTCCTATGTGAGGAGACAGCCAGTGATGTACAGATGGAGAGTGTGCTGAATGACATTCCGGAGGAAAGCTTGTAGCTACCAATGAGAGTAGCCTCCATAGGCTCACATGTTTGAATACTTGATCCCCAGTTGGTGGAACTGTCGGGGAAGGATGAGAAGGTGTGGCTTTTTCACAGGTGCTACTCCACTGATGACAGGCTTTGGTTTTCAGAAGGCCACACCATTTCCAGTTAACTCATTCTCTGTCTTATTCTTGTGGGTTGAGATGTGAGCTCTCAGCTACTGCTCAAAGCAGGTCTGCCTGTCTGCTGACTTGCTCCCCTCTACAATAGCCAAGAACTCTAACCCTTCAGAACCATGAGCTCCAAATTCAACACTTCCTTTTATACGTTGCTTTAGTCATGGTGTTTTGTCACAGCAGTTGAAAAGTAGCTAAGACACCTGTCAGGAAGAGGAACTTTAGGTAGTATACATCTCCTGTCTCAAATAAACATAGTATCGACAATTTGACTACAGCTTCTGCTGCTCCTCATGTTTAGTCTAGATATCTTTTCCTCCTTTGCTGACTGTCCCTACACTAATTCATAGCTTATCACCATGTATGTTTTTAAAGCACACAATACACTGAGGTATATAATCTGCACAGGAAAAAAAAATAAAGTGAGCTAGAAGGAAAACATCAAGAATGAGAGAATGAAAGATATAGAGGAAAAATAAGCAAAAGGGTAAAGAAAAAGTCAGAAGGAAACAATTAAGAAAGCGTGTGTCTTTTCCCATATTCCCTCAGATTAGAAAATACCCCTATTCCTTGGATCTTCCTTGAGCCCTGCAGTTCTCACGGCTGGTCCCCACAGCAGCTGTAGTGCATGTTCTGGGATCTAAAGACCTCAGGTAGCCACACTACTTTAGCTCTGTTGCCTGATGTATAACATAGTCTCTCTATTGGGGTGGCTCTACTCTGTGCCTATAGCTTCCCTCAATAGTATCTCTGCCATCCTTGGGTTTCCAGTGAAACTGTACACATCTTCAAAGATGGATGCAATGACTTCCCAGAGTCTCCTTACAGGGACTTTCCCCTGCTTCACATTGCCTGGCCTCTCACACTCAGAAGAGTGAAGAAGAATTCATGAACACCCTCAGTTTTGGAACTTTCATACCTGAAAAACCAGTATTACTTGATGGACAATGCTGCCAAATTCCCCTGATACCTTGAGAAGCATCCCAACCCCCTTGGCCCACAATTTGTGTTGGCCTGTATGTACCTCCACCCTGGGGAAATACCTCTCTACAAGGCTGTTTTCAAGTGGGAAGCACGTCTAGTCACTTTCTTACTCAAGCCCTCTCTTTGAAAATAAACTTTCATTTTCACATTTGAAGGATAAAGTGTTGATCCCAAGGGTAGCTTTCCTATTGTTCATAGCTGGTCTTTCTTAACATGATAGCCATAGAAGGTAAATAGGAGATTCTCTCTAAAAGTTCACATAGAGGGCAAAACTTCCCTTACAGTGCTTGCAATGAAAACCAGTTCAGGCTTGGCTGACACATCTTTTTGGTTTGTTTTTATTTTGTTTTCAGGATGTGTTCTGGGATGTATTTGAATAGGCACTGGGTGTTATTCATAGGTCACAAAGGGAAATAACTTGCTGTTGCTGTTTCTTTTTCTTCAGCCTGATAGAAGTGGGGGTTTCAGATTGCCAGCATGTCACTAAGTGCATTGTCCAGAGTTGGCTGTGTGTGTATAAGACAAAGATTTCTCAGGCTGCCAAGTGCGTGGTTAGAAGAGTGGTGTATGCATAGCCTATGTCATGTATAGTCCCATGTTGCTAAATTGTTTCTCCTGCTAGCCTGCTTCAATTCTCCCCACTTCAAGAGACTTTTCTTTGTAATTTATTAGGGGGACATGAAGGTCAAAGGTCAGTCTTCTTTGCAAGTGCCTTGTGTTAAGTAGGGAGTGGACATGGGCAGGACAGAAACAGTCTTTTCTATTCTTTCCCTAGAATTGTTGTATCTCTTAGATCCCCATTGGAGAGCATACATTAAATTTCTTAGCCTATTGGTCCACAAATATCTTCTGTGGGCATCGTCACATGATGGAGAAGTCATGGTAGTAGGAGCTTGGAGTAGCTGGTCATTCAACATCCATAGAGACAGAGAGCAATAGCTGTTTATGTTCCGTTCCCTTTCTCCTTTTCATTCACTTTAGGAGCTCAGCCCATGGGATGTTGTCTCCCATAGTTAAAATAGTTCTCCCCAGTTCAAGTAACCCAAAGTGTATTATCCTAAACAGGCACACTGAGAGGCCATCTTTTAGGTGGTTCTAGACCCTGTCACACTGGCAGTAATAACTGTGACATGTACTGATGATTATCGAGAGACATGGAATCCACATTAGAGGTGTGCTTCCATACTAAGAAAAGCAAAACAAAGCATATCTGCCTTCAGAAAAAATAAAAGAGGAATAAATTTTCAAAGATACAGGAGTGCCGCTCAACAGGGCCAGTGTACTGGGGACTCTGGGTCTATCAGCTTTGTCCACATCTTACAGAAGTTCCATCAGGCTTATGCTTGCTTAGAGCCCCTTGGAGAAGTCTCTGAAGGTTGTGAAACTGTCTTAAATTATAAATCAAAAGGCTGGGGTTCCAATGTTAGAGTTTATTTTCTGAAGTCCAGCTCTTGGGCTAGAGAACACAGGAGTAACTTTAACATGAGCACTGCAAGAAAAATCAAAGCTTTGCATGGGTCGTTAATTTCTGCAAGGTCTGCAAACTTTAGAGGACACCGGAAAATGTCAAATTATTCATTTTCTCTACATGCCCAATGCTCTACTGCTGTAACATGCTTTGTCTTCTGAAACCCAAGAGTCACTTGGTCCCAGGTGACAATAATTAATAAGCACTTGTGGTTGTGTATAGTGTTCTTTCTATCAACTCACCCAGCAGCAGTGAAACCGAATCTTAGTACTTTTAAATCTAGACTTTTGAATCCAGAAGTTTTGGAGTCTATTCTTAAAGTTGTTCCCTAAAGCAATTTTTAGTGCTAGCAGCTGAACAACCGGCAGGAATGAATAGCTGTTAGGAGATCAGTCGTGGAACAGGATCTGGACACCCAGATTTGTGGTAGAATATTATTTTAAGGCGTGTTGTGTTTGTTTAACTCCGTGAAGCTGTGATTCTTTGCCGTCTAAAACAGCTGACGGTCTAATAAAGAGCTGAACCGCTAACGTAGAGAGAGACAGGAGTGAGAATAGGCGGGCTGGCAGGCAGAGAGTATAAATAGAAGGACAACCGAGGCAGAGGAAGCAAAAGAACAGGAGAGGAGGACGTCAGGGGCCAGCTACCCAGCCAGCTGCGGAGCAAGAAGGAAAGTAAAATATACAGAATAAGAAAGATAAAAGCCCAGAGGGAAACAGTAGATGGGATAACTTAAGCTGGCAAGAAATACGCCAAGCTAAGGCTGGGTACTCGTAACTAAGAATAAGCCTCTGTGTGTGATTTATTTGGGAGGTTGGTGATGCCACCCCCCCACCCCCACAAAAAAAGAGTAAAACATCACACACAACACAATGCCAACCAAGAAAACCCCCGAGGCTGGGAGGAACTAGTTCTATCCCTGAAGGCATACTGCCACCTCGTGGTCGTATGGAAGAACTTTCCCCTGCTGCTTTATGAAAGGAAGCTGCCGGATTAGGGACCCTTTTGTTGGAAAAACCACTACACATGTCTGACTCTGCTGGAAATAGAAAGCCTGGTCTCCACACTCAGCAGCCCCCACGCCACTCCCATCCAATTCTACCTGCTATGGAAGGCACTGAACGATACTCAACGAGGTGGTGTGTTAGATATCTGTAGTCTCAGCACTCAGGAGGCTGATGCAGGACAGCTGAGTTCCTAGCCAGCCTGTTACACAGTGAGGTGCCTCCCCACCCCAAACCAAACAAGCAGAAACCTTTATGTCCCCTCATTTTACAGGCGGCCTTTTTTCCTTCAGAATATTTGGATTTGCTACTAGATCCCAGTTGCATTTAGGAACTCTAGAGATTTCCCCAAAAGCCCACACACTTTTGGGAAGCCATATTTAATTAGTTATATGGATTTAACCTGCATCTTTAAATGAAGCCTCCTTTGGGTGTGCAAGAAGAAAATACATTTTAAGTGCAGCAGCGTCACTATGCCTATAGAAAGCAATGGCTGTGATTCTAGAATTCTGAAAGTGCAGGCAGGAGGACTCAAGTTGATCCTCACCTATATAGTGACTTCAAGACCAGCCTGAGATACATGAAACCAAGCCTTTCTCAAAAAAAAAAAACAAAAAAAAAAAAAAAAAAAAAACAAACAAAAAAAAACAAAAAAAAAAAACAAAAACAAAAAAAACCAAAAAACAAAAACAAGCCAACCAAAACAAAACTCTACTCTCTAAATGATGTTTTCACCAAAGTAAAAGTCCTAATAAACTCTGTGTCCATTGAACACCGTAAATTGTATAACTAGAAGTTCCAAATGAATGTAATACAATAGAAAGCATGTCTATAAAGGCCAAGGTCATTTCTGAGGCAGGATCAGGCTTAATAACAGCAAACTCTAAGGGCCCTCGTAATATTAAATATGGAGGTAATGAATACAAAATGAAATATCAAAACCGTCCTTTTCTTATTTTTCTCTCTTTAAATTAATTCCATATATGAGCAAGTGGAGACCAGAAGAGGTCATCAGAGGTAATGCACTTTCTTCCAGACTCTGTGGCAGGCCTGGCTTGATAATTGGGTGATGGAGGGCCACACCTGGTTCTCACGCTTCTAAAGCAAGCTCTCTTAACTCTTAGTCATTTCCCCAACCCTGTTTCTGATGTCATTAATGAGGCTTTGAAGACAGGCCTTCAGTTTGAAGACTTAATACATTAATAGAAATATTTGATTTACTAAGTTAAAAATCTCTTTCTGGTTTATGTTCAACAATCACTTGGTCTTGGAGCAAAATCCAAAGTGTGATAAAAATCAGATCTCAAACTGGTTTAAAAACATACTGTCATGAAAAACTATATAACTAATGTCCTTTAACTGGATGTCTTATGACCATAAAAGGTGTTAGGGATATGTTAGAGTTCCTGTCATCCTAGAGTTTTCTGAAATGGAAATCATATATATATATATATATATATATGGAAAAAATGTAACTTCACAGACTCAAATAATGATGGAAAATATACTAAATACATCAATGAAAGAAAAAGTTGCACAGAGAATGATGCTAGAGAAACTAAAAGGCTCACTGCTTTGGGGAACAATGAAGGAAATTCTACATTTATAAAAAGAGAGTAGCTGCTACTTATTATGGAGACTTGTTTCTAATGTCTACCATCTACTAATTTTAGAGGATATATATTCCACAGTGAACTTTCTATACAAAGCACTGGATAGAGAGTGTTCCATCTCTAGAGAATGCTACATCCAATGTGACTAGCTAGAGTAGGCTTAGTTGTTGTCTACCAAAACTCCTTTCTGGCAGAAATGAGATGCAAGTCATTACTTTCCATGGTGATCTAATTTCATTTCTGCTATACACCAATGTTTTTGTTGTAAGAACCCAGTTCATACCATAGTGAGGCCAGGTGTGTCCTTAAAAACCTTTGCTCTGTGTCTGACTTTTTCCTTGTAGGATACAGCCATACACACTAGTAAAGCTAGTTGTTTGTTTAGTGAGACAGGATTTTGCTATATAGTCCAAAATAAACTCAAACTTGTGTGTTCCTATCTTGTTTGAATCCATGGTCTTCTTGTTTATTTGAAAGAAAAAAAATCCTGAAAACAAATTACCATTAAAGAATCACAGCAGTTAAATTATGTCTGAGATATGACAGCAAAGACAAGACGTAAGAGCACTGAAGTGGTTTTCTGAAGGATCTCTCTCTGTGTCTCTCTCTCTCTCTCTCTCTCATTGTATGTGTGTGTGTATGTATTCAATTGATATACAAAAAACATATATATATATATATATATATATATTGAATTAAAATATGCATACCCCTCTTTTTAGAAAAAAATGTAAGCCAATGGAAGTATTGACTCAAACCTAAGAGATGAAGGATTTCCCACATGAGTTTACTCATGATGGTTGAATTACTCAGAAACAGAGTTAGTTAACTGGAAATAATGGCATTTTAATCAGTTCCTCCAGGGTTTGTTTTGTTTCTTCATAGTTTTCAACTAATAAAGAATGAGTAATGTGAATGGGCATGAATGCTATCTTTGTCTACCTCATTTCTGGCCATCATCTCACATTGGACACAGGAAATATAAAAATAATCCTTGTGCAGCAGCCCCAGCTCTAGGAATTGTTTGGGCTGATCTGGTGAGATCCCCACCTGCT